ATATATATATATATCAATTTATATTTTTGATATGAGAACATTTAAGCAATTTTAGTAAAAAGTTAATTCATAATAGGATATTAGCATAGAATTTAGAACTTTGATTTATATATGTTGATTTAATTTTTCCCCTTAAAGATGATATTCACTTTTTTTCTTCTAAAAAAGATATTGAATAATTTATAGTTTACAAACTTTGATGCAAATAACTGTAATCGAAAAATAAAACTTTTTAGAAATTTATTACGTTCAAGATTTATATTTATTTATATTATTTAAATTATTAATATGGTGAATCTGCGCCTTTTCCATTTATAGCCAATGGTCTTATATAAAGTAAGTAATATAAAAATTGAAATGACTCTATTAATTCATATCCTAATTAAAAGTACACAAGTTTATAATCTTTAGTGTCCCCTACTAATAAAATTATAATTGGTGAATGAGAAAGTAACTAATGCTTTCTTTTTAATATTATTAAAAATTTGAAAATAATTTTATTAATTGACAAATACACAAAAAAAGGCAAAATATGAGGTTAATTTAGGAGTTTTGATAACGTTAGTTGTTGAGACTTTTAGCAGTCACTTATTACTTCGTCTGTCATTATATTGGTATTTTTAACTGACTCATAAAATAAAATCCAGGCTGAATTGTTTTTCATTATTTTGAGAAAAAAAAAAGCATATTTAGTATAATTCTAACCGTCATAAAGTCAACCAAATTAATATTTTTATGTATATTTAAAAAAAATTTCAATGATTTTGTTAATATTTTATAAAAATATTATATTTAATATAATCAAATAAAAAATAGTTATTAAAATAGATTTTTATTAAGTCTACCTCCAACCTCTTTTCTCTTAAAAAAATTCTCTAACTTCTAATTAAATAGGAGAGCATAGTTTGTAACAGTTTATTTTTTGTTATATAATAAATAATGAAAGCCGTTTATATTAAAATAAAGTTTTTTTTAGGGAAATATTAAAATAAAGTTGAAAGCATATTTTGTGACTATAAATTAGTTTTTAATTACCAGTTTTAAGATATTATATTAATTTTAAAATACTGTATGAAAAAAAATATAATAATAAAAATAATATTAGAAGTTTAGAACTCAAATGCCATGAATACTAACCAAATCTCTACAGAATACAGAGACGGGTTTAACATTTTTCTTTAACATGTTCACACTTAACATGCAGATACTTGGCCTAATACTTTCACCCGAGAAGTCATGTAAATAATGGAGAAGTTTATTAATTTATCATAAGTTTCTTCAAGTTAAAATAGTTTTAATGACCTGAACAGTAACAAACATTGCACCATTTATATGATATTTCAATATGAAATGCTATGTCCATTCTGTGTTGTGTTTACTGCTAGGTGATTTAGGTCTTCAAAAAATAATTTTTTATATATATCATAATCAATTTCCGTTTATTAAATTTGATATCTAAAAATTTAGACTATAATTCATTATCAATGATCAATGAAAACAAAAAATATGAATATAAAATGTCAAATAAAAAATATAACTCTAATTAAAAAAATTAAATAAAAAATTGGAAGATTGATATAAAAATAAAAATATTAAATTATTCATAAATATTTTTATTTTTATTTTAGGCCTCAAAATTCTTATATATGACCTTGAGTCCATATTCTTTAGCTAAGTATAAACATGTTAAGGAAATATTTATATCTATAGCAAACCATTAAATTAATCTAATAATAAAAGTTAAAGTAATATGCACATGATTTTAAATTTAAATTTTGGTATAGTCATTATAATTTTAATTGATAAAAAAAATTATATAACAAATTATGTCTACATATATAAATTAGTTTAAATGAAGATGTTTTTTCAATTTTTATTTGATGTTTTGCGTAGGTTCTTATTAGATTAATTAAATTAGTTTATGAACACTCTTAATTGTTATTAACAAAAAATTAACAAATTATCAACTATTTAAATTGTGGATAGCATGACAACAATCACATGATGATTACAACAAGTACTGTAACCACATAACCTCGATTGCTGACAACATAGGCTTAAAGTTGGACTGTAAAATCATAGTAACCATGATGTGTCTACAATATAATTAAAATTTTGTAAATAATTGATATGTGATCCAAGTATAAGAATTGTAAATGTGTAATTTTAATTTAATTATATATATTTTTTTATTGAATTGGAATTGGTATTATATACCAGATTTCAATTACAATTGGAATATTCTAATAGATTCTTATTGTTTCAAAGTAGCATAAGTTTTTGAATAAAAGCATTACAATGGTTGGTAGAATTTTCAGTGAATTTTATTTAACTGTTCTGAAAGACACAGAGGTCACACATATACAGACATCAAATGTTTTGAAAAACAAAGGTCACACATCTACATACTGAACAAACTCAAACTATAAAGACAGACATGCATGTCTCTAAATACCAAACAAGCTCACAATATTAATGCAAAGACAGAAGATGAAAAGAGGTGGTGCCTCTAAACACTAATTAATACTAGCCTCACAATTGAGTGCAGCCAACTTATTCTCAATCTCCTTCAAATTCTTCTCAATAAGTTTGTCAAGTTGTTTCAATTCTTCAGCAGTATTTGGCAGGGGTTCACCTTGCATGTACTTGAACAAGGACAAATTCATCTCCTTCTCATCATTGTCATGACGCTGCTTCTTCAATTGGTCACGCGTTTTCACAATCCTCTGCATGATGAAGCTTTCTTGGTTCACATTCTTGCTTTGATCCAGCACAGAAGCATTCAAATACCTCTGAATCACCTCTTTGGCTCCCTCAGGACTTGGCCAAACCTCTGGCTGGGAATCAAAAGGACTAGAGATGATGGCACATGCAGGGATGCCACAAAGAATAGTCAGTTCACTCACCTTCTTGATCACACCCTTCTTTCTTTTCTTATATGTGACTTTCCTTGCAGTGTCATCAGAAATATAAGCAAGCTTCATCTTCTTCCTAGCCATAATTGTAATTGATGAGAAGAAAACAATATGATGTTAGAATCTTTTATGAATTATTCTCTCCAACTGTCTAGGCTTTATAGAGGTGTTTCACCCACTTTTTGAAATTTTGGATCTTTGTTTCGACACTTGATTCTGTTATCTATAGGACCAAACAGGAACTTGTTTAGGAATTTTCTCTCTCTGTATTTTACAAATATTGCATTGGTGTATTATATTGGAAAAAAAATAAAAATTGTGTATCATAAATTACCAATTCTTAATACGTTACCATTTTAATTTAGAAAATTTGCAAAATACAAAACTTTTAAGAACAGACATTTTTGCTCGAGTGCGTAAAATTAAGGCGGTCAACAATTTTTTTTTTTTACAAATATTTAACACAGTGATATATGTAAGACTTAAACTAAAAATGATTGATTAAGATAAAATAATTTGTGTTAGTTGATTTGTACATTTGGTGATATTTGTAATAAATTAAATGATTTTTTACCTTTTATTTTACATTAGAAGGTATAACATATATCTTTCTATAAAAAATTATTATTATTTTTAATAAAAGAGTGCATGAAATCTAGATGAATGGAAACAATTAATAAAAATCAGGCCATTACATATTTTTATATTGGATTTAGTTTCTCATAGGTGAAAATACTCCGTTTCGCAAATTAATTATATTTAAAATCGTTTATAATAAAAATAAATACATATATAATAAAATGTAAAGTTAATTTCAAACTCAACCGTTAATTTTTAATTAATAATTATTATTATTTTTTATTTTTTTTTATTTAAAGTGCACCATCAAATAAATAGCTTAATATTATTATATTTATGTTTTACGTTTCGTTTTATTTTAAATATCTTTCTTTTGAGATGATGTTTCATATTAAAATTAAAAGTTATAATGATCAGATCCAAATCTTGAGACATATATGTATGAATTTTACTTCAGGATCATATCTCTGGTTTTTCTTTGCTGATTTACATATACATTGTGAATTGGAATTGTTCAAGCTAAAATTAGCATTATCAGTTGATGAGCAAAATAATTGATAATATTTGAACGTAATCATAATTAAAAATACTTACTTTAAAGAGAGTTACTCATTTTAAATAATCTGGATCTATTCAATGGATCTTTGAATATTAACTATGAAAGAAATTAAAATACATGTCATTATGTAAAATGATTTTTCTCTTTCAAAAATATTGAAGATAAGTATAATTAATTAGGAATTAGTAGTTGATATTAATTTTTATAGATAAAAAAAAAACAATAATTAAGAATCACAGAAGAAAATAAGTTTCACTTTAAGGAGTCAATGATCTAATATATTTAAAATTTAATTAAATTGACTTATTTAACAAAAAAAATTATTTATAAAAAACTATTAAGCCTAATAAGATAATCTAATTATCTATATAGTATAATAAAAAATTAACATACATATTATATTATTAACAATATAATTAAATAAATAAATTTATAATATAAAAAATCAAATCATTATTATTATTGACTTTTTCACTGCTTTGTTCATACGAGATCAAAAAATCAAAAATAAAAATTTTAACAGTTGCATATTCATTAACTTTTTCCTTTTATCTTCATGATTGATTCTTTAGAATATCTAAATGGGATATAAGGAATATTTAACAAATTTTTTTATTTATAAGATTATCTTATTTTATTATAGCTTATGCCCCATTGTACATCACTGTACATGGGTATGCACAAGTTGCCCCCTCTTAAGTTAGTTTCCTTTTTAAATCAAAATTTTAATGAAAATGGAATAAACTATGTTTTTATTACACAAATTAAAAACTTGCATGCATATTTAAAAATAGATTCTTAGTTTATTTAATATTGTTAATGTAAAATAAACTTTTAAATATGCTAATAAGTTAGACTTTTAAGAAAGCCAAGTCATGCCTACAAAAAAAATCTATATAATAGATAATAAACGATTTTATAGAATAGACTCGACTTATATATTTAAAGTATTGTTTGACCTAGTCTATTTTCATCGTTATTAAGAATGTTTGACAAAAATGTTTATAGGCATCTCTCTATATATAGAGAGTGTATCGGGAGAGAGATGGGGGGAGGGGGAGGAAGAGAGACATAAATAGAGACATAAAGAGAGGGGGAAAAATTACTATTTATCGCGACCATTTGAAGTTGTTTTTATCATTGTTATTATCACTATCATCATTGTAATTATTGCCACCACCACCACCACCTCCTAAATGAACCATTCACCTTCATCAGGCTCCTATTGGCAACCTGACATGATATTATAAATATAGATCATAGATTGAGAGTCAATCTATCATGAATCATGACAAATATCAGCCATGTAATAAGATTCAAAACATACAACAGAAAAAGTGCTTAGACTACTTCTTGATTTGACAATAGGAAGGATGTTTTCTTTTCCTTATACCCACCTTTCAATCATGTTCATTAAGACATATATCTCTAGTACTTATGGTTTAATTCTTGGATGTTAGAAGGTCAAGGATTTTATGAAAGTTGTAACATTGTCATCTCATAACCTTGTTGTTTGATTTGATAGTAGCTATTGAGAGTTCTAAGACTAAAAGACCTTGAGAGCATGTTGATCTCTAGAAGGTTGGACTAGAGATAAATGGAGTCGACTCAGGAAAGGTATAAAAGAAAATTTTCAAAATAAGCTCATAATCAATAACCCTAAAGAGAAGCTAGAAAGAGAATTCCCTCTTCTTTCTTTCTTTCTTCTTCATTTTCACTTGAACCCTTCCTTTTCTACCATTTTCTTAGCTAATTCTAGGAGGTTGTGAAGAATTTGAGCTTTGGGTCAGAAACCTTAAGCTACTGGTGTGCGAAGTCACTTCTCTTCTTTTTTTTTTGTGGATTTTCTTTGAGAGGCAAGGGAAGTTGTGATTTTGAATTTTTGGATGTGCATTCTGTGATTATGATTATTAGAATGAGTTGGTTGAAGGTGTTAAGTGATTTAAAAAGATGAAGTTGAGAAGGTTTCATGATTTTGAAGAGAAGTATGATAAATTGAGTTGATTCTTGTTTGGATGCTTGTTGAATGTTGTTTTTAATGATGAAATTGAGTTGTATTTGATGTATAAATCTTGCATGTTATAATGCATGTTAATGGGCTACTGATTTTCAAGTGTTTGAATTGTAATTAATTTTTACAGAAGTGCATGAACTAATATCGTGCTAGGCACGCCTTCAAGGCGTCGGGCGTGGTTCCAAAGAGAGGTCTTTGTCTTATTCACGTTGGGTGCAAGATTGGTGGCATCGGGTATGAAGAGAGAGACTCGTCTTGGATTAGAATTACGTCGAGTGTTGATTGAATGACGTCAGGCGTGAGATGAGAGAATGGTCTCTGTTTGAAATCACATTGAGCACTGGTGGAGTGGCATCAGGCGTGAGTCAGGTAGAGAGTTCTCTGCTTGATTAGGATCGCGTGTGGATGTTGTGCTAGGCATAAAACTGAGGGGCATTCTCTACCTCAATCACACCAAGCACGAATGATGAGACATTGGACGTAGGTGAGATAGGAAGCTCCTTGCCTTAGTGGCACTGGACGCTCAGTGAGTGGTGCCAAACGTGAGTTATATGCTTAAAAGTTGTTATTTAATGTTATTTTACAGTTGAATGATGGTGAATGAGTTGTATGATGTCAAGTTGATTGCTTAAGTTGTTTAGCAGTTGATTTCTTAAGTTATTTAGCAATTGATTTATGATGACATAGTTTTACGAATGATGATGTGAGATGATATATGAGTTGATATGTAGTAAGTTGACCATGTTGTAAGGTTGTGTGATGTTTTAAGTTGCCTAAGTTGATTCTAGTGGTTTTTTGTGAAGTTGTTCAGGTTGTAAAAGTTGTAAGATGTTTATGTTGTTTTGAGTTATGTTGTAAAGTTGAAAGTTGAATCTTCTATTAGTTGTATATTGCTAAAGTTGATAAGTTGAATGTTGAAAGATGATAAGTTGTTAAATTGATAAGCTATAGATATGTGGGTTAGATACATGTCTTAGCTACGATAATAGAAATTAGAGGAAGGTTAAAGATGTTTTCGAATGGGTAAGTTGGCCTCTGAATGGGTAAGTTGTTTTTCATTTGTCTCCTCTAGGTTCTATGTGATATCCGTGTGTGAACAAGGTTGAGACACACGTGTATAAAGTGACCAACCAAGTAAAGTATTAGGTCGGGGACTTAGTTTCTAACCTAGTATTGGAGGGTCGTGGTGTTTGGAGGGTAACTGATGGATTAATCCCATAGATGACTTAGTGTTGCAAACTAATGTCATGGTAGACTCATACCCAAACTATTTTACCTTGACATAATATCATACTTCCTTGTTTAAGTGGCAAAATCCGAGAAATTAATATAGTTTATGCTAGTTGTTGTTTCTAGCCATGTGCTAGCCATTGTTTTTGGCCTCAATGTCAACTATTATTTACGGTATTATACAAGCTATTGTGATTTAATAGGAGATCTCCGTAGTTGATATTCATGACAACATATTAGATATGATGTATAAGTTATGTTGTACATGTCGTAAAATGTTAAATTGTTGCGTTGAAATTGTTGTTCTGTTGTAAGTTGTATATATATTTGTTGTGATAATGTTATTTATAAGATGTCATATTGAATTCTTTTTACTAGCTTACTCTGTGTTTTTCTTGTGGTTGAAACTATGATGATTATACTTGGTATGAGAACATGACAAAATTAATAGGATCACTTGTACATTTTGGAGGCTAGTAATGTTGGAGGTGGCTAGATTTGTTATGGTTGACTACTCTTATGTAGTCAAGTTTTATATAGAGGCTAATTGAAATCTAAGTTTATATTGCAATTAGTAGTGTATAATGTATATAGCATGTATATATTTAATACTAGTGTTAAGTCTCAATTTTACCTCTTTTTGGATGAGACTTATTAAACAAATTCCGGTCATCCTCTGAACCATTGCAATATAATTGTTCT